ATGCAAACCTCCAAAATTGCTTAAGATTAAAAAGTGAAGAGAGTGCTTGAGACTTATAAATGCTCACCAATAAAGCTATGATGAAATAGTAAGTTTGATTTAACTTTGAAGCTCTTTTTTGCATGCATAACATCATAATCTTTTGCCATTTTATGTACAATATGCGGAAAATATTCAGTTTGTAACTATTGGTGCAGGAATGACAGCAAGAAAAAAAAACAAAAACAAAAAACCAAGTCCCACCCCTCACATAATTTATTTAGTTAGTTAAATTGATTCCCCAGGTTATGGACAGAGCTGTGCTTCACATGGACAATTCCTACAACATCCCAAATATCAGAGGTATCGGTGTTGTCTGTAAAACGAATCTGGCCTCCAACACAGCCTTCCGTGGATTTGGGGGTCCCCAGGGAATGATGGTTGCTGAATGCTGGATGAGTGAGATAGCCTTGAAGTGTGGGCTGTCAGCAGAAGAGGTACGTGCTCACCGAGATATAATTTTGCAGAAAGCAAGTTACAATACTCTCATAATTACTTGTACCTATCAGAACTTTCAGTTTCCTTTTATGTTGAAAGCAGTGGGCCATAATTTCTTTCTTGGAGTTGGTGCATCCTTTTGGCCTGAAGGAAAAGGGTCAAATTGGATACCCTTCCCTCCTCGTCTATAGGGCCAGCATTCCTGGTGAAAGGCTGGTGCCAGCTCTCTCCTTTATGCTTTTCTTTTTGAATTCCAAACATTTATTTACTCTTCATACCTTTGCAGTGTTCTTGGACTAAGACTAGATCTCAGGCATTCTGTGGACACCATCTCCTTATCCCCTGTCTGTTATAACTTGGTTAGCATTATTTTCACCTGGCTTTGAGTGCATACATTATTCACGTAGTTTCACTGAGCCTGATTTCATCATTGATGCTGATAATCGGATTGTTTCATTAACTGGATATAAACATCTTATTAGACAACATGGCAAATGTGTCCTATTTCTTCATTCTACTGAATATTGATGGGATGATGAATGTGTTTTGCTCAAGAAGTTCTATTTCAGATTAGAGTTCAAAATGTTGCTAAAGCTCTGCTTGTTTGTTTAAAAGATCCCAATTATTTCAGAACTGAAGTCTGTCCATTTCCCTTTTGTTCTGAAAAGGTACGAAAAATCAATCTATATAATGAAGGAGATCTAACTCATTTTGACCAAAAGCTTGAGGGGTTCAGCTTGAAACGATGTTGGGAAGAGTGCCTTGCAAAATCGAAGTATCATTTCAGAAGAAGAGACATTGAGAAGTTCAACCAGTGAGTGTCTTATTTTTTACAGATAATTTCTGATTTTACTGCAAATTGGAATATCTCATATGGATTATTTTCATTCTAAAGATTGCCATGTAGCAGCATTATACCCAGTTGTCTGAAATACATTCTCTGCTAATTGAAGTGAATATATTTGGCAGAAGAATGTATGGACCCCTGTCAAAATTGTAATTTCATTGGTGTATGTTTTATGTTACTGCATTATTCCTGAAACACACTTTATTGCCACCATCACTGTAAGGCTAATTAATAAGGCAATTTAGGCTATTTCTGTATATTATGCATGCATTCATGTAGCTAGATAACAACAAATATCTATTTCAGGGCACTTTAAGGTATTTCTTCCAGATTTTATTCACATACACACATGAATGATAGAAAAATGTGACATTGAAAAAAGATAAGAATACATTTGGGACAAAAAACGTGGAGGAGCATTATCACATTGCATTGTATTGAGTCGTTCAGAAAAAAAAATCTTGGTGTATCATACAACAGGGCCACCCCTTTCATTAACTGCTATAAACAGACTGGAGTAGCTGTTAATGTGGTTCACAGAGAAACTTCCCACAGCTTTCTCAATCATTTTTTATTGTTTGAAGGACAAGGCTGGATTCATATGGATTCTTATGACCAGTAGCCGAAGACTGGAGAGGGAGGATGCAGAGGGCTAGCACACTGGCACTGAGGAAGCAATGTACAACTACTGTAGATAAATTCTTGTATTACTAGTACCAGATGTCCTTGAATTTTGTCTTGTATTTGGGACTAAATACAAGTTATTATCTCCCTCAAGCAGCTAGCTTTTATGGGTTTGATCATTAGGGAATCACTCCCACCGTGGGCTTAAAATAAAATATCATAGATCAAATGAGATAAGTTGCATTGGTTTATTACTCCAGTTCTCTATGAAATGCTGACAGAAGCCTTCAAAAATTCAGAGATAAAAAGAAAAATAAATCAAGGTCAAATGCAAAGGAAAAAAAAGGGGGAAAGCCCTGTGGTATATAAATGCAGTGCAAATGTATATATTTAGATTTGTACACAATCTGGTTTAAACTTTAGATGAATCCTTTTGAACATTATATTCAATACTACAAGGCTTCCCTCAGTAATAATGTTTCTTATTTATAAAATTTACTGACTGGATGCTAGATTTGTTTTGCAAAATAATGTCTTGCTTAGGAAGAATGCATTTGGAAAGGCATGCCAGTCTGATACTCTTCTGTTTACCCAGGCAGAATCGCTGGAAGAAGAGAGGCATAGCCATTATTCCTACCAAGTTTGGGATCAGCTTCACAGTTCCTTTTCTGAATCAGGTTGGCAAGCATCCGTTTTTTGTTTTTTTGTTTTTTTACTCAGACAGCCTATGGGCCTCTAGTGTCCTTCTTCATTTAAAAATAGAATTCCCATGCTTCATGTGTTTTCAGACTTTGGAAATAGGGTTTAATAGAGATTGCACCGGCGAGGTGTCCATGGTAGGGGGAGCCGAATGTCAGGCCTGAAACCGCCGCTCCTCCTTGCTGTGCCGGTCCGGTTGAGGCCTCCGCCTGATCCCTGCCTCGCCTGTGCCCAGCTGGCGTTTCTGCCTGTCCCGTGCGGCGACGCTTCCTCCGTATTCCCCGCCGCCGGGACGACATCGTCGGGACGTCATCGGGCGGCGCCGGGCTGCGGTCTGACGGGCGGACGGCGCCGGCCTGCCGATGCGTGGGGTGTGCAGCTGGACAGACGCTGGCTCGCACGGGCGCTGGGACATCGCTGGGGCAGCAAGCAGCTGAACGGGGCTGGGGCGGCAAGCAGCTGAACGGGGCCGAGGGGGGTACGGCAGATGGGGGTGGGGCTGAACAGACGCTGGGCCTGACAATCCCCAGGTGTTTTCGCTGGAGGGACTGGCTGCCTATGGGGCGGGGCGGGCCCAGGATGGGTGGGGCTGATGGGATACAAAGCACGCTGCGAGAGGGCAACTCCCAGAGCTGTCTTTGCTACAACTTTGAATACAATTGTTGTTGGTTTGCCGTTCCTGTCTGCTGGCGTTTTGTTTGGGAAAAACAAGCCAGGACGGTCTAACAATACAGTTATATTAGGACAGATTCTATCTGAACTTCAAAATGACTGGATGTCAGGTGAGGGCAGCAGCTATCTTTACGATCTCATTTTCCAAAGTGTTGGACCAAAACATTGAGTTTTCTGGTTGAAGCAAAAGATACTGCTACCTGCCCCAGATGGCACTACATCAGCACTAATGTAAGGACAACATGCTCCATCATACCTGACAGCAGCAGACAAGAAGCATGATATTTTTCACACTTCTGTCTGCCAACACCTAGCTGCTGTTCCCTGCCCAACTTTCCGTGTCCAGTTCTCACTGTTGCTTCTTGACCCACATATAGGTTTCTCAAGAGATAAATAAGATGGTCTGGTACTCCCATCTTTTTAAGAACTTGCCACAATTTGTTGTGATCCACACAATCAGAGGCTTTAGCATAGTCAATGAAGCAGAAGTAGATGTTTTTCTGGAACTCCCTAGCTTTCTCCATTATCCAGTGTACGTTGGCAATTTGATCTCTAGTTCCTCTGCCTCTTTGAAATCCTGCCTGTACTTCTGGTAGTTCTCGATCCACATACTGCTGGAGTCTAGCTTGTAGGATTTTAAGCATAACTTTACTAGCATGTGAAATGAGTGCAATGGTGCGATAGTTTGAACATTCTTTGGCATTGCCTTTCTTTGGCATTGGAATCCTGTGGCCATTGTTTAGTTTTCCAAATTTGCTGGCAAATTGAGTGTAGTACTTTTACTGCATCGTCTTTTAAGATTTTGAAAAGCTCAACTGGAATACTGTCACCTCCACTAGCTTTGTTGTTGCTCAGATTTCTTAAGGCCCATTTCACTTCACATTCTAGGATGTCTGGCTCGAGGTCAGTGACCACCCCATCGTGGTTATCTGGGACGTTAAGCTCGTTCTTGTATAGTTCCTCTGTGTAATTTTGCCACCTCTTCTTAATCTCTTCTGCCTCTGTTAGGTCCCTGCCATTTTGGTCCTTTATCATGCCCATCTTTGCATGAAACGTTCCCTTCATATCTCCAATTTTCTTGAAAAGATCTCTGGTCCTCCCTATTCTGTTGTTTTCTTCTATTTCTTTGCACTGTTCATTTAAGAAGGTATTCTTATCTCTTCTAGCTATTCTCTGGAATTCTGCATTCAATTGGGTGTATCTTTCTCTTTCTCCTTTGCCTTTCGCTTCCCTTCTTTCCTCAGCTATTTGCAAAGCTTCCTCAGACAGCCATTTTGCTTTCT